TTCATATTTGTTTGCATTTGCATAAAACACTAGAAGGATGTGCAAAAAATTAATAAGAAGGGTTATATGGGATGGGAATCAGAGTGAACAGCAATATGGGGGAGTAAGACGGCTCACAGTAAACCTTTTCAATATCACTTAATCTTTGAACCACATGAATACATTACCTATTCAAAATGTAAAATTACATTAAAAAGCATCTTTACTTTTTAAAAGTATTCCAAATGAGTTAAAAACTATGTCCATACAAAGGCTTGCACATAGGAGGGAAGCAGGGCTAAGAAACAAAACAAAACAACAAACCAAAAAGAAAGCAAAAAAAAAAAAAAACAAACAAACCAAAAACCAAAAAACCTGCACACAAATGTTTACAGCAACTTTGTTCATAATTGCCAAATCTTGGAAGCAACCAAGATGTCCTTCAATAGGTGAACGGAAAACTAAACTGTGGTTCATCCAGACAGTGGGATATTTTTCAGCACTAAAAAGAAATGCACTACCAACCTGGAAAAGATATGGACGAACTCTGAAAACATAACTACTAAGTGAAAGAATCCAGTCTGAAAAGGCTACACGCTATAGGATTCCAACTACATGATATTCTGGAAAAGACAAAAACTATAGAGACAGTGAAAAGATGAGGGGTTCCCAGGGGTTAGGAAGAGATAAACGAATAGGCAGAGCACAGAGGATTTTTAGGGCAGAGAAAGTATTTTTTATGATGCTATGATGGTGGATACATGTCATTATATACATCTGTGAAAACCCATTAAAATATACAACACATAAAGCTAACCCTAATGTAAACGATGGATTTTAGTTAATAATAATGTATCAATGCTGGCTCATGGATTATAACAAATGCACCACACGAAGGCAACATGTTAATGATAGGTAAAGCTGGGAGGCCTCAGGATGAAGGGTTAATATGGGAACTCCCTGTACTTTCTGCTCATTTGTCTGTAAACATAAAACTGTGTTAAAAAAGAAAAGCCTGTCAAAAAATTTTTTAAAGATTTTATTTATTTATTTATTTGACAGAGAGAGACACAGCCAGAGAGGGAACACAAGCAGGGGGAGTGGGAGAGGGAGAAGCAGGCTTCCCGCCGAGCAGGGAGCCCGATGCGGGGCTCGATCCCAGGACCCTGGGACTATGGCCTGAGCCGAAGGCAGACGCTTAACGACTGAGCCACCCAGGCGCTCCAGAAGCCTATCAATCTTAAAAAAGAGAAAGGGAAAGGGAGCCCAGTGCCAGTCAGGACGAGTCCCGAATGGCATACAAATCAGCCCGGACTCTCCTCCTGTAAACACAACCATTTTTAAACAAGGCAGTGACAGAGTTGTGCTCTGAAAATTCTGGTGACCCCGAAGGCTGAAGGATCTACGAAAAAGAGAGCCAGCGACCAATAAGCCGATGATAGCAGAAGGGAGATGGGGGTGGTTCTGAACGAGCAGGGGCCCTGGGAGGAGACAGGAACTCGGGAGCGTAAGCAACAGGACTTGGTGGCAGCCGTCCTCATGCATCCAGGGATGCGTGGGAAAATGAGGGTCAAAGTTTCCCTCCGGTTTCTAAATTAAACTATGTGGCAGACAATGGTGCTGACAGAGGCAGATGAACAAACGAGACGGGGAAAATGAACCTGGTGTTTGACCTGTGACGCTATTTTATTACCTGCAGAATATGGATGTGGAAATGTACAGAGGCAGCTCCAAACACAGGTACGGGCAACTCAGAAAGGAGGTCAGGTTGCCTTGGAAACGAATTCCAGTAGGTATCAAACTGCACTTATTTATGCCAGGGGACATCACTGAACCTCCCCAGTGTAGGTGAGTGATAATGTAACGTGGGTTAGCAAGTGAAAGAAACCTAGTCTATTTTCTACCCTGACTACCCGTGAAAGTAAAATGCTGAGTTATTTAGCCTATCCCTCCCAAGAGAAAACACGTTTTTCTAAAATATCTATTTCAGACATATTTATAAATGGCGCTTGTATGATGCTGTGGTCACTATGGCTACTAACAAGGGACCCCAAAATTTAGTGGTGTAAAACAACCATGTATTATGCTCATGAATTCGACGGCTCAGGAGTTTGGGCAGGACGCCACAGAGATGGCATGTCTCCACTCCACAGTGTCGGAAGCCTGGAATTGTCCGAAGGGACATTCACTCACACATCCGGCAGTTGGCTATGGGCTGACACTGGTTGTTGGCTGAGGGACTTCGGTGCCTGTCCGTGTGGGCCCCTCCCTATGTTCTTCGTATGTGGGCTGGTTTGGGTTCCTTCCAGCACAGTGCCTGGATGCTTAGGGTCAGATCCCGAGAGTGAGAGACTCCGTGCTGAATTCTTTTAGGACCCGGCCCTGGAGGTCACACGGCATCATTTCCACCAGGCTACACTGGTCAGAGCACACACAAGCCCGCACCAAGTTTCACGGGGGGGTGGGGGCCTAACCCTCACCTCTCCACGGAGGAGTGTTCATCACACTGTAAGAAGTGCATGTAGGACGGGATTGGCTGCAGCTATCTTTGGGAAATTAAATCTGCCCACATGAAAATCAAAGTATTGTTTCAGTCGGCATGACTCTGAAAAAAAGCAACATTAAGGGAAGACAGACAGGGAAAGTCGAAATAACTCAAATCTGCAAACTTCACCTACGCCCAGTGCACTCGGTTCTGAGAAGAGAGAAACATTCAAACCCAAACAACATGGACATTGAAACATTAATGAATACCCATTTAAAAACCAGCACGATCGAGCACCTGGGTGGCTCAGTCGGTTAAGTGTCTGTCTTCGGCTCAGGTCATGATCCCAGGGTTGTGGGATCGAGTCCTGTGGTGGGCTCCCTGCTCAGGGGGGAGTTTGCTTCTCCCTCTGCCCCTCACCCCGCTTGTGTTCACTCTCTCACTTTCTCTCTCTCTCTCAAGTAAATAAATAAAATCTTAAAAACATGTATATTTAGGCGTTGCTTACAACATTAAAAAATAAATAAATAAATAAATAAAATAAAACCTAGCATGATCACCAGAGAACCTAGCACTCTTCTCTGCCTCTACAAAAGAAAAGTCCTGAAGTTTAGGGGCTCGGACCCAGTTAGTGGTGCAACAAGAGAGGAGAGTGGTGCTGAGAAAGTCCTACGGGGGACAGGCTGTCACTGTCCCAACCGCACACAATCCATATGCCAAGTCACACTCCGTGCTGCCTGGCTGTGTCACCGCCTCCGCTCAATGCACCTAACGTCAGCAGCTCCTCACAGAGCTCTGTTGCTCTTTGGTGCTGCTTAGTTGCCTTTAAGGGACTGAAACAGATAAAGATTCAGATAAGAAAATAAAACACACGTTGATGAATACCCCTTTAAAACTTAGCACAATTACCAGAAAAAAATCAGTTTATCTCAGAAAGCATAGAACACCAACGAGTAGAGGTTTATGTCAGTGGAAAGAGCTCATTAATTTACCCGCCCCCAATTTTTTTCTCTATATTCTTCATCCTTTAACAAACAGCTACCATTGAAACACATACACACAAATAAATACACCATAACCAAGAAGTTTATTCCATGAATGCAAAGATGGTTCAATTTATCAGATAAATTGAAAGAAAAAAAAATTGATTATCTCCATATCACTAAAAAAAAAAAAAAAAAACCTTTAACAAAATTTAACACCTATTCTTGAGGGTTTTTTTTTTAAACCACGAAAATAAAAATTGATGTATATTTTTAACATGATAAAACTATATAAATCTCAGCCCTAAAGCCGATATCTGAGTGACTGGAGAATCACTAGAGGCTGCCGCACTCAGGTCAGGAACAAGACAAAGATAACTACTACCGCCACTAAACATTAACACTGAATCCAAGCTATCGGCCAGTCAGACAAGAAAACAGAGATGTAAGAACAATCAGACTATCTCTGTTTGCACGTGTTGATAACAACAAACCTGGAAAACCCAAAAGGATCAATGATAAAAGCTGACACAACCAATGAAAGAATTTAGTAAAATAGCAGACGATAGAATTGACATAAAATAGCCATCGCAAAAGTTTGACAGTACACTCTGGGAATATGGAAAAACAGGCATTGTTCCATTGTTAGTAGAAATGCAAAAGTATACCACCTGTGTGAGGAAATAAGATACTATCCCAAAAAATTACACACTTATTTACTCTGTGGTCCAACAATCCCATTTTAGGTATCTATCCCAGAGAAGGATTGACAAAAACTGATTTGTAAGTACTCAGAATAGGAATTGATGGATAATTTTTTAACATGATACATTACACAAACCAAGGCCAGATATTGTGACAGATACACCGGGCTATCAGTCCCTTCAAAATACAACGTATCTGTAACAACAAAAGACTGGAAAACAACCCAAATGTCCAGCAACATGGGACTGATGAAACCATGATACATCCATAGAATGGAACACTCTGTAGCTCTAAATGAGGAATGAAGAATAGTACCTCTATTACCATATGGAGTGATCTCAAAGATATGTTTTAAGTTGAAAAAAGCAAAGTGGACAAAAGTGTACGTGGCACGTGACCATTCATCTAAGAAAAGGGAAAATGGGATAAATGAGCGTGTGTGTGTGTGTGTGTGTGTGTAGTTTATTACATACATAGGTAACTTTTTAAATGGAAGGACAAACCAAAAGAACTTTGAAAACATGGAACATCTATAGGAGAAAAAGTAAGTAGAGTAAATGAGACAAAGCTAGATACCAGACTTCTATGAATACACCTTCTTTTGTACATTTGACTTTGGAACCATGTAAACGTTTTACTTAATTATAAAACAAGGACTATAGCCATGAGTGTAGTATTATTCCCCATGTGATCCTGTTTTTAAGGCCGCGAACAAATCTGCGTGGGCTCAGGAATCAACAGAACCGACAAGCCAGTTCTGGCCGGTGAGCCGACTTAGGGAGAGGTGCGCTGGGCCAAGCCGGAGGAAGGGAATGCGCGCCAAGGAGAGACTGTAACATGGGGCTTACCTCAACCTTGCTCTCGGGTTCATGATCAGCAGCTGAGAAATACATGACCTCCTGAACTTCATCCCTGGGCCGAGCTGAATTTTTCCCAAACACCACCAGCCCGTCCTTAGCACGCGGTGGGAAGGCCACGAAGCAGTAACTTGGAGGAGGGGCAGCCATCCTGCAAAGAGAGAGAGAATGCCAGGGGCGGCCTGGAAGCAGCTGTGACGTGGGACATTCCAACAGTGAGTTCTTCAAACACACTGCACCAGTGAACATCGTCTTCGTATTGAACTGTGTGCAGCTAGCGCATTAAGAGACACCAGCTGGGGGGCGCCTGGGGGGATCAGTCGTTAAGCGTCTGCCTTCGGTTCAGGTCATGATCCCAGGGTCCTGGGATCGAGCCCCGCATCGGGCTCCCTGCTC